ATTTAATTGTTAAAACTAGTAAACTTTTATTTTTCTAAGACATTGAGAAAATCCATTAAAATATTGTATGTAAACATAAATGACACTTATATTCTACAGTCTGCCCTAGTACATTCTACTTTTTTAGGACAATAGGTTCACAAGTAAAACACATCAGAAAACATGCCAAACAATTAATACAAAAGTCATGTTCCGTGAGGCCATCCCGTTGTCGATTGGTATCGCTTATGACAATAGTGGGCACTGTATGGACAGTTGGTGCTGTTTGTGGTGTATAGGGCGGCACATATAACGGTGGGATATTACTTGTGGGTTGACTCGTCAAGTGTAACTGTGCCGGTTGTTCGGCTATAGTGGGCACCTCCTCATACAGTACGTGATATGGTGGCGGTCTTTCGTATGACATAATTGTTATACAATTTTCTCTTTAATTAGTTACCAATCAAACAATAGATTCTTCAAAAAGTTGAAATCAATTAATTTAGAAATATATTTTTATTTTCTATTAAATAATGTATTTTACAAATTATATATTTTTTCTAATTACAGTAAATATCAATAACTCGCTAATAGTTTTATTTTATTACAGTATTTTGTCATATGTTTTGTAATTTCATTACAGGACTTGTATGAAATTTCAATTTAATTTTAAACTAATCATTAAATAACAATATATAATACTGTATCAAAGGTCTGTTTAAATAAAATAATGTTAACGCATTTGAATTCATATTAAAATAATCAAATAATATTTTACATCTGTTTGATGCAAACATTAAATGTGAATAAATATCCAATTTTAAATGATTTTTTTATTAGACAAAAACAATCTATAATATAAAGTTAGTTCATTTCGAAATATTCATTTATATTTTATATAAAAATAATTTATAAGTGTTGTTAACAAATACTATCAACGACAATGAAAATGCAAATTATATTATCAGTATTGATGGCATTAATTTGTGTGAAAGTCAATGGACAAACCACTCACAAGTCGACCGTTAGTCCGCCCCATGAATTCAAATGTATGAAAGAGTTTTATCAGAAATATTGTGCCGAAAAGGACGACAATGTCTTCAAACAGTTGGAGAAATGCGAACATAAAAACCCAAAAGAGGTTTGCATTTCATATCACTTTTCATTTCATTCACTTTTATGTGAAGGGCTTTGCAGTGAAAACCGAATCAATGGTTAATGAAACTTAAACTCAATTGAAATAACTTATAAATCATACTATCATTACAACTGTGATATCATATTCATAATATATTTACAAATCAATTATTCACTTTTAGATAATTTAAATATTTATTGTTTACTCAATAAATAAAGACCATAGTAAAAATTAAAAGTAATTCAAAGACAGTATTTTTAAAAAATAATAATTAATGTTTTTGACTTCACTGACCAAATATCATGTCAATCATTTTGGTTACTTGAGTAGTTTTAACACAATTCCCTCATTTGATATTATCATATGATATAATGATTTAATAAAAATATTGCAATTTTCAGATTAAGGACATTGAGATACATTGCGTTGAAAAGATCCGAAAGGCGGCGGGAAAGACGGGTGAGTTGACTCATCTGGAATACCAGGCCCTCGAATGTGACGCCAAATTGGGCGAAGAGGTGAGACATCGACACACCTGAGCTTTCACTACACCTGTATATCACTTATAAATGATCTCTTTTTACAAAACTATTCAATTAGTTTGAAAAGTGTATGAATGCGAGTCTAACCAATGAAAAGATGGTTCAACTCGAAAAGAAATACCCGTCCCCTCAGCTCGATAATATCGCCAGAGATATCATGGTCAGTTTTTAATTATTAACATATTATTACAACTAACAATATAAAACAGTATATTAATATTATAAAGTGTTGATAAATAAAATGGGATATATGAACTTTTTTTGATTTATCAGATCCACAAATACTATTTAAATTTAATAATTATTAAATCTAATTATATTTAGATAAAGTTTTAACATTTACAACTAAATAATTATATTTACATTTGATTACAGAATTGCGATTGTGATGTTTATAAGATACCACACGATTAATCAATAAATTCTATGACTTATTACAGAATTATTTTTTAAATAATTTGAATCAATTCTGCATAAATATATCAGAATTATACTGTTAAGTAGAATATATTATTTAAATAAATGTCAACAAAATGTATTAAAATATTAATCATTAAATTAATAAAGAAATAAAAAATTTAGAATATCGTGTACTGTACTGTATATCCAGTTCATTATATCCATACCACAACTTTAAGATTAATCTTTAAAATTAAAAATATGAGCTGTATATTGAAATGCTTTGAACTCTGTTAAAACAAAGTCGGATTCTTGTCTCATATTTGATTGTCGAATCAAATAAAAATTATGAATTTAATGATCAAATTAAGTAATTTCAAAATTCATTATTTTTAGGTATAAGCAAAATAAAGTAAATTTGATGACAGTCAAAACATGATTTTATTTCATAATTTTAATAATTCTCATAATAATAATTACATTATACTTAACAATAAGTATTATCAGTATATTACTAGTAAGAAGCATATACTTTATATTATACACACTTATTATGTGTATATAAAAACAATTGTTTAAAGATGTATATAAAAACAAAATTATTCATCAAAATCAAAATATGACTTAAATATTATTATATGTATAATGCAATCACTAATTGATAGTGTAATTAATAGACGATACTATTGTTTTCCTTGTATTTATTGTAAATATTATTATATTATATATATATACTGTATATAAAAATATTGAGTTTTAGTTGAATTAAAGAGCATTTGAAAAACAAAAAAGAAAGTTTCATTCAGTTTTCTCCGTACTTTTAATGTTAATAATAATAATATTGTATTTTAGTCTCAAATATCATTCAATAAATGATAACAACAATTATTTCGTATTTCTAGTGCTATTTCATAACAACAACTATTAATTCTTTCTCATACAGAATATAATAAGCTTTTCCTTCCATACGATTCTTTACTTAGAAATTCCTGATTCATTACGATATTCATTATATCTCTAATAATATACTGTATCTCATATAATATAATAGTAATTATTTCCAAAAAATATTTGAATTTCGTGTCATTTATTTTGTACATTGTATGTATTTATGTGCTATAATAGAGAATATATAACCCAAATAATATGCAAATATTACTTCATACTATTGTAAAATAAGTTCAATAAAATGTTGTATGATAAACAATTTTGTCTGGTTTATAATTTTGATGTTCATTATTTAAATATAAGTTCAAAATAAAATATGTCTATAAAATTAATATGAATTTTTAAAAAGTCTTTTTAGTTGTAAATATTGTGTTATGTATTCTCCATTATATAATTTCGTATTATATCGCTTGAAAGTAATGTGTAAATGTATGAATTTAAGTAAACAATGAGTTTTAAAATAATAACATGAATAAAAATAAAGCTCCATGGTAAAATATATTTATATGTTTAAAGGCTAACTCTAAATGAATTATGTGATAAAATTAATATATTATATTATGTTCAATGTGTCTGTTTATGTTTATGTATTAATATTTATATATAATTTTGTAATAATATTAAACAAATGTACAAATATTTTAAATGAAAAATGTGAAACAAATGTAAACAGAGTTCAATGTAATGAAATATTAAAAAGCAAATAATGAGCTATACACATTCTTAAATAATATAATAATAGATTGACAAAATATAATTGTGGCAAATATTATGGAGATTTATGGTAATTGATTATTATTTTGCTTTTAATTCAAAAATGACAATTAATTTGTACGTTTAGTTCAGTTATTGGGTTTAATTGTACGCGTTTACAGATTCTTCAATAACATTTATATATTAAAAACAATTTTCAACAAATAATAAACACAATAAAACTTATTTACATTATCTTATATTTGGTTTTATATTAACAGGCTGAATTCTACAATTTACATGTGTATATATTCTCAAAATACATATACTTTAAATTGCTTGTGTATCTGTCAACTTGGAAATTGTATTAAACGAGGTAATTGGTAATATTGATTAGCATTAATTGTGTCTCTCTGTGTGCAATAAAATAATATAATGAGAAAATTAAAATTAATCCAAAATTATAATTGCTATGAATAGAAAATTCTCTGTAAAACCAAATATTTACGAACAAAACATATATTTATAATTTGTAATAAATCTATAATTATAATATTCTAATATATTAATAAATCTAAATTAACTGTTTGTTTTCTAAACCGGATTTCATTCATTAAATTATAAATATTTGTGTTTTTAACAATACATACGGCAGCACATACAGTACAACAAAATGCAAATATATTTGGGAAGGTTTGTCAAATAATTTGTATTCAAAATTAGTCTTATATTAGAAAAGAAGTCAAAAGAAAATGGAAAACAATTGTATTTGCTATGAATGCAGAGACAGTTTGCGAGACAAATGTTTGTATACAGAATTATTCAAAGAATATTCTATTATGTTATTAGATTTACATTTAATAATATCTTTCACCAGATTTTTGTCGTTAGAAAGAAAAAGAAGTTTTTGTTTGGAATATAACATAATAATGAAATGCTGTAGAAGTCTAATCAATATTTTGCCCAATATTTCAATAATTTTGTGAAACAAAAATATTTAATGTGAATCACTGTAAACAGATTTTAATAGCTATTTGAGCTCTATTTCTAAGAGAACCATTAAATTGTGAGTTTTGAACGTGTTTTCAAGGAAATGATTTAATGATTAATATAATATAGTGTATATGGAAACAATGAATGAATGAATATATGAATGAATAACAATATACTGTAATAACTGTAAGAATAAAACACAAAATACGAGTAAATATTATCATAAGAATAATGTGAACGAAACATAAGTTACAAACAAAAACAAATGTATTGTCAATAATGTTGACACAAATTAATGTATCGAATAATGTATTGAAGTATTTGTGGCCAAAATAAGCGACAAAAGACAACACGAGACGACCTGCCGGTGCTGTTAGTCAGTGAACCGACTGCACGCCTTTTTCCACTTGCATTGCGTACACCACGAGTCCCTGTTGTCCATACCGTATACTTTACGGCACTTCCGACTCTCACCCCTCACCCGTTTGGTGGGCGACTGTTTGGCGGGCCCCGCGTGCAGTAGGGTTGTGCCTGAGCTACCGGCGCTCTTGACGCCACCGGCACCACCATTCAGTTTCATGTACTTGTGGTGAGGACGGGCCGGCGATTGCAGCGATACCGGTGCCGATATGGAGATTGGCATCGGCTTTGAATACTGGTGTGCGTTAATGGCGGCGCCGACTGTCGTCGTGAGGCCTGGAATATTGATGGGCGCCGTCAGCAGCGCCTTATTATTGCTGAGAAAGGTATTCGTGTCGATGAACTTGATCTTAATGCCGCCACCGGTGCCGTTGCTGTGGTAGTGGTGGAGGTTGTGCTGTTGGCCCGACAGCGGCAGTGGTTTGGGGTACTCGTGGTCCTCGAGATGACTCCAAACAGTGGGCGGCGCCGACGTCGACGGGAAGAAGAGGTGGGGCGACGGCGCCTCCGATTTACAGCTGCCGTCGTTGCTGGCGGTCGGCGACTGCGGGCCAGGAGATGACGACGACGAGGACACCGACGATGGACTGGTAGACGATGACGAGCCCAATGAGTCGCAACCCCTCTGGTGGTGGTGCTGTCCATCCATTACCTCGATTTCTGTGTAATAAAACTCTTCCTCTCTGTCATTGTTTTCATCACTCGTTTCACCACTTCTTCTGCGGACAACAAAAACATCAAATATTAAGTAAAACTTTTTATCAGTTGTTTTGCATTTCATGAATGTTTTGACAATAAATTAATTCATTTATTTTATTCATATCACAGAAAGGCTTTCAAGAAAAAGACGATAAAACACTGGACAGTAATAATTACCCTAGGTGTTTTGTGCGCACGTGGTGCTCAAATGAATGTTTTGACAATAAATGAATTCATTTATTTTATTCATATCACAGAAAGGCTTTCAAGAAAAAGACGATAAAACACTGGACAGTAATAATTACCCTAGGTGTTTTGTGCGCACGTGGTGCTCAATTTGTTTGCATGTATCGTATTGCTGAACACAGCCGGGCCATGTGCACTGGAATATTATTCGTATTTGTGCCTATATTCAGGTAATTAAAAAAATATAAATTTTTAGATAACAATTCAATTGATTAATTATATTTTAATATCTCTAAACATTATCATGAAATAATATTTGTTATGCTATATTATATTATCATTAATGTCTAGTTAATGTCTAATAGAATATATTATGAAATACAAATAATTGGTATTTATAATAAAGTTATTTCAAAGAAATATAATTTAACTGTTTTTGGTATCAATAAAATTAAAACCAAAATAAAATGACTCATAAATGCAGTATTAGACTGATTTTCAAATAAAAGTACAGTACTAATAACGTTATATTTTCAAAATATTACCAACCATGACAAATATGATATACAATCTAGATTTGTGTTCACAAACCTCTACCCCTTTGAGCATCACTGGTAAATTTATATTAATCGAGCGATTCATTGCATGTATGAAAACAATAAGTAACACAAAAATATAATAAAATAAAAAAATATGTTCACTACTTTTGTTATGTTTTCTCTTTATTGTTATTATAACGATAGGTAATCATAATTGCAATCACTTTATTTCTCTCTCTCTCTCTCTCTCTCTCTCTCTCTCCACAAACACCCTATTATTCCAAATGTTAATTCACTTTAATTAGAAAAGCAAAAAATATTGAATTGACAAAAACTCGTAAAATGTATTAGACCCGTTAATTATCGGGGTGTTTGCGCTCTCAATAATATTAATATCAATAAAAACGACAATCTATTGAATCTATTGCTTGCATTACAACAAAATCCCTTTTGTAGTGAATGGAGGGTTTGCAGCGCAACACTGGTCCTGATAATTGGGTGTGTAATTGATTAGTAGTATATTTCAATGTTTAAGAATTCACACTTTATAAAAATACGACTACCTGTGCTACCATTTGCTACCATCACTTCCCCTCACTAAACACAAACACATTCAATAGACATTTATGCATGACCTGTGCTATAGTATAGTGTACTTTGTTTTTTTGGCTAAAAAAATATCCACCCTTCCACTCAATTTTACGAGCATTGCTTTATGAGTGAATACAATAAAAAAATATTATACAAATATATAATTAGTTTGTTAAAAGAAATAAATGACAATAAAGTTTTTTATAAGGATAATAACCACAATAAAATCAACTGTTTTTCAAATAAACTTGCTTAGTATACTCGCTGATTAGTATTTATAATATTGTATAGTATTTTAAAATTTTATATAGTATGAAGAATAATAAATTTTATGGGAAATATATTTATGTTTTATAATATTTATTTATATTCTGCAACCAAAAATGTATATTCTGGCAATCCTACTGTATAACAGTAATATACTGTATTATATTTATTTAATGCTTTTATTGATTAATGAATTCATAATATAAACTTGAGACAACATGTCTGTGTTAAGATGTTTGTTAATATATTGTACAATACCTTTACTATAACTACATTTTTATAAATTGAAGGAAACCATTGTTTTCAGTCTTACCTCATTTTATATTTATTTCTTAAAAATATACTTTTTGTATTTTATTTCAGATACAATATGATAATACAGTAGTAGACAGAGTATGTTCAAACTCAGCTGACTCATTTTATGTAGTTTCTAACATATTATGTAAGATAAAGATAATGATGGTCACAATATTCTCATTATTAACAAATCTATTTGTTTTATTATCTTGAACCGTACTACAGATAAGATTATATTATGTTTAATTTGTATAATATCAAAATAATCGTCAATATCATTTAAAAATTATGTTAAGAAAGACAATTTAAATAAACAATTGAATGGCATAATCAACAATTATAAAATATACATTAAAATAAATAATTTAATTTAAATCAAAAATGCAGTGAATTTCATAGTATAGCTCAAAATAACTTTCATTTCCATTCGTAATATGCTTTAATAATTTATATTGAAATTTAATGAAACCTTTTTAAAATAATAAAAAATCTAATTTAAAATCCAGTTTAAGGAACGCGTAAAACATATTATAAAAAATATAATTTTTATTTTGATCGCATTATTTATAAATTGATGTAATTTAAGGAAAGTATAACTCATTTTGCTTCACATAAACCACAGGAATGTAAATGTAAAATAGAAATCTTTAATCAAAAAATAAAATCATAAAATATTTTCTTAAATATAATATCAATCAGCGGTGAACTGCACCGGTATGTGTGGGTAGGCATTTTTTAAAGCATTTATGCCTTTAGAGAAATAGATTCTTGAATAATGCATATAATTATATATATAATGCTATTTAATTTGATTTAAACTATCAATGAATACATTTTATGCACTTTTCTTATCTGTAATGCGCTATAAATCAAACTTTTCGCATGAATTGCATTGAGCTTTACTATACAGAGGATTCACTATCTGAAGAGTTATTGCATAATACCTTTAGAGACATAAACAGTAAATACATAGTGAATGAGAAATATTCCCATTTAATAATCCTATTTCTACCATACAATACAAAGTTGTATAAACTTCTACAGAATTTCGAGAATTTAATAATAAGATTAATTTCTCAGTTTATAATATAAACTTTATATGAAATATAAGAATTTGTTCTATACTTCTCTGCAATACTTCTAAAAATATGACTTAAATCTTAAAGGCAGAGGGATTACTGTATATTATTTATGTATACTGCTCATTTCTAACTTAACCACTATGGCTAGAAATATTTATTATTTTTATATTATTTCTAATGTTATGAAAAATATATAATAGTTTTGTAGTGACTGACTGTAAAGATTTGAAAGTATGACTTGAAACTTTTATAAAAATATATACTGTACCCTATACTTGAATTAAGTTTTTTTGTGATTAAATATTGTTTCTTATTCGCTGATAAACAATAGGAAAGTTGTTTTTGCATTAAAATGCAAATATCGATATTCACGAGAGGATTGTGTGGCGAAATTCATGGCAATCCGGTTCATGTGTATCGAGTGAAACATGCAATGAATGCCTTAATAGCCGTTCGCCACAAACACCTCATATTATATACGCTTTTCGTATCTCATTATATGAGTGTAAATGAAAGAAAGACATGAGATGTCAAACAGAAGGTCAATATTTCTTCACATAAATTACATTATATTTAATTATTAGATGAAAAAGTGATGCAAAGAGAGGGTGCTATGAAGGCAAAGGAGTGGTGCATAAGAGAGACATATATTTGTATTCAAATATGTATATTTGAAATGTTGTCTTTAAATACAAAGCTGTATATTGTAGCTTTTAAGACTCATGTAAATTATTTGCAACAACTAACAATTACATTTGTGCTTATAATACAAATTTACAATACTCATTTATTTGATTATTTGAGCGAGCGAGAGAGAGAGAGAGAGAGAGAGAGAGAGAGAGAGAGAGAGAAATTTGTATGAAATACAGGGGCGCGCACTGACCTACAGTCACCCGTGTAATTGGACTTAAGAAACGAAGCCAAGGGGTCAACTATGTATGTCCCCCACCCTTTCCATTCAATATTATTTGACGAATTGTATTTTTGAGCCAAAACACAAGGATATGAACATTAATGTTCACAAATACTTTTTAAGGGAATGGTATGGAAGGGAAGGGAAGGCCATCATTAGAGATAAGGTGATGAAGAATGCGTTGTTTCCTACCCTCGCCTTTACGTATATATGTTGTAAGTATACTGATGTATATATATATA